CGGCAACGTCGACAACTAGCAGTACAGCCACCACCTCGACCTCATCTGCAACAGCGACCACTACTACCACAGCTGCCACTTCGACCTCAACTGCAACAGCGACGTCGACAACCAGCACTGCAGGTGCCACTTCGACCTCAGCTACAACAGCGATGTCGACAAGCAGTATTACAGCCACGACTTTGACCTCAACTACAACAGCGACCACTACTACCACAGCTACCACTACGACCTCAAGTACAACAGGAACGTCGACAACTTGCTGTACAGCCACCACCTCGGCCTCAACAACAACAGCAACGTCGACAACTAGCACTACAGCCACCACCTGGACCTCAACTACAACAGCGACGTCGGCAACCAACACGACAGCTACGACTTCGACCTCAGCTACAACAGCAGCTTCGACCTCAGCTACGATGGTGACGTCTAGTACCAGCACTACAGGGTCCGCTTCGACCTCAACTACGACGGCGAGTTCGCCAACCAGCACGAAAGCTACCACATCGACCTCAGCCACATCGGCGACGTCCACATCCGTCATCACGGATGCTTCAAGCTCAACTGGAAGAACAACCAGCGCGCGGTGTAGTTCGGGCGCAACCACGAGTGCAAGGATAAATCCGCCTATTGCGGTTAGTAGTGTCGTATCCTTTTGCGGTTGTTCGAATTTGAGCTTGTCCTTGACTAGTATCTCGTTCGATATGACGAATGCTATCTATCAATGGGAATCTTCGCCAGCCGGTCAGAATGTTTGGCTTAATATTAGCACACCGGATGCTGCTTCGGCGTGGGCTGTAGGAGGCCAAGCAGAGTCAACTGATTATCGGTGTGAAGTGTTGGTTTTGTGTCCGTCACTGTTGAATTTGATGTCGTCGATTGTAACTGTTCCGAATGCCTTCTGCGCACCAAATGTGGTCAGTTGTGTTGCGGGTGATTATATAAACGATTTTGTTTTGATAGGGGAGACGGGCACACAGATCTATGATTTGGCGACGGGTTGTGCGGCAAATGGTTACGATAACCGAACTAACGAATCAGTCAGTTTGGCGGGAAACATGAGCTATGTTGCTTTGGTATCAACAAACTACACGTCGGGTGAGAGGTTCGCGATCTGGATTGATTTCGATGATAACTTTGTTTTTGATTCATCGGAACAAGTAGCAAATCGAATGTTAAATTCAACGCTTGATACGCCTGTTATTGTATCTATCCCTCCCATTGGTCTGGTAGCCAAAACTGGTGTTCATCGAATGAGAGCAACATTATCCTTCGTATCCGTACCTAATCCCTGCAGTCCAAATACTACGTTCGGCAGAACGTTGGGCGAAACACATGATTATGCAGTGAATATTTTAACATATACACGTAAGTTATATCATCGATAGTAAATAGAAGATGCTGCAAACGATCCTAGATTGGTGAAAGCTTAGACACAAATGTTCATCTCTCAGTTATTCTCTCTTCACTTCAATAAGCAAAAGGATCGTGTACTAAATGTCACAAGAAATAACCATGGTTATTCGAACATCGATAATACTGCTTACTAGGTATGAGCCGGTTGACGGAAACCGATCGTAACCGAAATCGAAGATAATCGAAACCGACCATAAGCGAAAATGTTGCACAAGTTCTTGAAAATATGTTTGACACAATATGAAGAAAGCATCCGTTGCCGAATCAACTACTGTTCATCGCGGAAGGATAAGAAGCACAAAATTAGAAATAACCCAAATAAGCTATATTTCTGACTTATCACTATGAGGTAAGAGTTTCCCGAAATTGAGTTCAGTAGCAAAAGTATGGCAAATTTAATTTCTAGATTTATTTGCTAAAAATTGGTCATTAATGATCAAGTCAGAAAAAATGCGCATAAAATCACTTCGCCGTAGCACGAATTCTCAAGCGGTACAAGCACCTTTTACCACCTATGAGATAGTCCAGTCTTCTTTTTTCTGAAGAAGCCCTCTATCAATGGAACATATAGTGTCAGTGACTAATGATGTTTTTTGTTTATCAATATTGTACTGTTCTCGTTTCCTTTCTTCTTGTTATTTTGTCCTCTTCTTTACCATTTTGTTTGTATTGTCTCTTCTTATGAGCATGTTGACAAAGCCACCTTTCTAGATTCTTAATCGAGCGTCGATTTCTTTGTTACAAACTTTTGCACTCGCAATGTTTTTTTCGTGTATCCATGGCTCTGTCAGAATAAACTGAACTGCACTGAACTTAACTTTGCACAAGGACGCGTTCCTCGCTAAATGAAAAATCGAAAGTGACTGACCGATTTATTGTGCAGAATAAGAATCATTTGTTTCTCTCTCTCGCTGTTTATATAAGAGATCCATTAGATGTTTTTCAAAGAAGAGGAGAGCTGATCGACACTTCAATGACACTTTTTTGTTCGATCAATAAAATGAATTAGATGTTTTCGAAGAAGCGGAGAGCTCATCGACACATCAACGGCGTTTTGCTTGTTCGAAAAAATCTAATGAATATCCTATACAAACAGCGAGAGAGAGAAACAAATTGGTTCTTATTTTGCGCAATAAAGCAGTCAGCCACTTTCGATTTTTTATTTAGCTTATAACTTTTGGCGCTTCACAATGTCGTTGGTATCTAGCCTATACTGACGCTCATCATTGAATGCTCAATGTAGACCTGAATAAAGCGTGCACTGTTACCCCGACCGAGAAGTTTGAGTCAAGAACTATCCTAATCGATTACCCATCTTTTACTCTATCTTTGATAAAAATTTCAGCTTGGAGGGTTCAAACTTCATGACACCAGTATTCAAACATGGTCTTTGGGCGTGTCTGCTCTACGAAAGTTTGCTAGTACTCGGGATTTTGACCATCAAAATTTCATTTAGCAGCCAAATAAATGTGATATTCGCAATCAGCATAAGGAACGTAATCTAATGACGGATGTTCCAGTGAAAAATATTTTTTAACAGAAATCATACCCGTACTGCCCTCCAGTTATTTTGTATGATAATTTCATCTGAGAACCACTATGAGAATTAGATACTTACGGCTAGCCTAAAACATTCTCATAATTCTCAAAATTCCTAGGGATTAGGATAACTTCACCCTGCGTGTTATGCATTATGTATTATGTATACAAGTGTGATGTAATATGTATTAGGCTAGTGTTTTGTCCCGTGGATTCCATTACGAGTTGTAGTTTTCGTAATTTTCGAAGTTAAAAATTTCGAAAAGGAGAGGTGTGATAATTCGCATACAATCCGTATCGTTATTTATTGGTGAGCATGGGTATTTTAGGCAAAGTAAACCCTAGATCACTGTGAAATAGCTTTATTTTGATACCAAACGCTTCCTCATTAAATTCTAAGTCTAGTCGACTATGAATTTAAAAAAAGTCAAGGAAGGCCCAAAAACCGTCCTTATGCGCCCCTGTCCTTTGCTTATAGCAACTCTGATAAACACACACACGCCCTCAAGTTGGTAGATGAGATTAGCAATTTTTTAGTAGTTGAAAAGGTCCAGTTGCTTCCTTTAGTCGACAGAAAGAGAGAAAGAAAGAAAAAAGTGTGCCTGAAATGGAGTCAGTCGTTCCTTTAACTCTAAACAGGACGATAACTGAAGTTTTCAAACATACTAATTATACATCTGTTACAGTAGAATCAATGAACAAACACTCGAAAGCCACCATAACAGACTCTTGTTAAATAATCAGTTACAAAGATGCCAATTAGTAGCACATATGCATTACCGCCGATGTCAAAGCAAAAAGAACGACATCAAGTAACTTCAATGATTCTGTTAAAAAACAAAGCATCTATTATTTTTTTCTTATGGAATAGGTTCTACAGTCAGAACATTCTTCATCGTTCTCTCCAATAAGTACAGTACTTGTCAATCTGCCACCGATGTCGTCTACAGCTCCTACAGTTAGGTAAGTTTTCGATCTTTCGGCCGCCTTGGCGATACGAGGTAAATCGAATTCGTGATGGAAGTTTGGTCACTATTCCGACTGTTAAAGAAAGCACCGTTATTGCTTGATAAATATGTAAGACTATAACAGTTCAAGTTCCAAAGAACTGATGAACCATGCAAAAAAACGGGTCGGGTAGTTCCAATTTGGATGAACTGAACTATCGGACAGCTCAAGCGAACTGTTAGGACTAGAGGTGGGCCTTTACTGAAGTTACCAAAAATTACTTTTCCTATTTACTTTGATTTTATCGACATATCCTTGTATTTACTTTATTTAAAACTTGTCTATCTCTTCAATATCTGCGATTTTTAAGCAGAGTAAATACAAATAAAGTCCAAAAAATCAAAATAAGTAGGAAAAGCCTTTTCCTACTTCTTTTGATTCTTTGGACAACAGTTACGGTAACTTTTTGATAACTTCGGTTCCGCCTCTACTTCGGACAATTCAGTTTCTTTCAAAGAGCTTGAACAGTTCTTTTGAAAGAAACTGAGCTATCCGAACAGTTCGCTTTACCTGAACTAGAACTACTCGAACAGTTCTTGAGAGATGAGCTGATGGAACTGTTATGATCCGACAAATGTGGCCAAGATATCAAATCTGGCGATCACGCAATCAGATTAAAGATTAGCAACTTCACCTTATAAAAGCATCATATAGGCCGGACTAAAACTGGAGCCAGAATTACTGCAGTTACATTGATTTATATATTCTTCGCTAAGATTTTGTGATCACTTATGAATGACTGTGTCATCGTTGATTTTGTTTATGTCTCGTACAAATTATTCGCTTCAGGAATAATGCAGGTTTGCTGGCGAAAAAAACAACAACCGAGTTTTGTTCATCAAAATTGTGTAAAATTTTAACTGGTGCGCTGGTGTTATTATTGGCTGGCGCGATTACTGGACTAGCAATTCGACTTGCTCGTAGTATCAACAACAATAGTTCAAACTCAACAGCGACTACTTCGATGACAACGCCCACAAGTTCACTCGGTACGTAGGTAAAAATGTTAGTCTTGCATGAAGTGTGTAAGTTTAATATCTACACCAAATATTATTTTGAGGAGGTAAGGTATCCGATCTTTTTTGCCACTATCAGATCTTTTTCAGGTGTTTCTTGATACGGTCAAGTAAAAACAAGAATACTCCGCTTTATTTAGATTGCGAAATCAAAACAAATTAAAATAGTTCAATGTGCTTGTCGATCAACTATTTCTACCCATCCTATCTCAGCCCTGAGGTACGGTTGTGCGTTTGAATCATTAGCAAAAACATGAGCATCGATCCGAAACTCGATTCAATGAATGCACTGGCATGCGGTACCTCATGACCTATCAGAGAAATAAAAGCATATTTAACCATTTGGTTTGAACGGAGAGTGAAAGGCGTTTGTAAATTATGTTTGGCTTCAATATACAATACATTAG